AGGAAAACTTTTTTTTGCTCAACCGCATGTTCTGTCCACTTACAAATTCAACGACACAGGTATGTAATAGAGCTTTGGCCGCGTTGTATACCATCTAGGAGTCTTTCGTCGCTGATTTACATCGGGTTCTCGACATAATGTGCAATGACCCCTCCCTTGAGGATCGTGTCCTTTTAACCGATGGTTCTGCTTGTTACAAATACCATCGCAGTTATCCAATGAATCGTTACTACAGCGAGATTCGCAACAAAGTGGAGAGAGAATTGGATATGGTACTGCGGGCAGATCCGGCGGGGTCCTCTGGTGAGAGCGTTTGTCGAGTCTACTCTCCTGAGATAAATACTCAGGAGAAGCTTCGAAAGGTACTGTGGATGGCGCTTCGAGAGGACGACTCCATGGATTTCTATCTGTCTTCAAGTACTCTACAAAGGATGATCGGCGAATACCTCAAGCGCCGAAACTACAGTGCCATCAGTTTTGCACAGAGCGACCACAACGCATGCCCAAATTGTAAGACTCAACAATACGCGGTACTGCAGTTTCACCACGAATGGATCTTCCTGAAGCGCGAGTTTGATGAGCTCTCCTACCGGCGACCCCTTCTCGAGAACCGACAGATGCGCTATGATGTTTTGTCTACCGAAATCGCCGCTAAGCGTTTTCAGGAAGAGGAATGCCTGAACGACCTAAGGGTGCACAACTCACGCGACGCCAGAATCAGGGGCTATGTGAAGATGCTTGGCGACCATTTCAGGAAAGTCGAGGTCAATTACCAGAGAATTCGGGCCAGGCAGAATCAGGAGTTTCGAGGAGTCGCTGTTGATTGGAACTCATTTCCAGATCGAGCCTGTATCACGCACCAAGATGATATGAGTAAGCTCGATTTGCTGCATTTTGTTGTATCAGCTTCCTCCGACATCACGCGTTGGCGTTTTGACGCCAACGCCCATGTTAGTTCGATCAACAATAACGCTATCGTACTTTCACACGAGCAAGGAACAGGCCCGAAGAATGCCTCCGCCATTGTGGAGGAAATTCTCCTGGACCATCTACTGCGCTGCCGTGGAGAGTCCCTTAAGGTTATTGTCTCTGACAACGCGTCTGTAGGGAAGAATTGGATGACAACAATAGCTTTACCCCAATACATCGTAGACCAGGGCCTTGCGACGATCTGCCTTGTTTTGTTTCTTGAGAATAACCATGGAAAATGGCTCTGCGACATGTTATTCGGACAATTCCAGAGTCGTCGGCGGAGATAGGTTCTCTTTAGCATAGATGATATTCTTAATGGATTTGAAGATGTGAACAGGGAGTCAGGGAATATTCAAGGATTCGCAGTTAACCCTCTCAGTAGTATAGACTTCGCGGAAGTGTTCAAGTCTCTCGGATACTAGACGAAGCCCCCATCGCAGTTTCGATTTATTAAGAGGAATATTCACTTCGCTGCGGCATGCAGTGTAGAGGCGAAACAGCGGTTGCCTGTTGAATTGAGAGAGTTGCTCAGTGATGCGTTGCCAAATGACCCAGGCATGGTTAGGATTTCGACGGAGCCGCCAACAGGTCTTCCACAATGCCAGCGCCGCTACGAGGACTGTTGTTTCGACGTCCCTGCGGCGCGGCTCACAGATTCAGAAGCAGGAGCGGATGTCAACAACGGATTTGATTGTCAAACAGCGAGATCTGGCGCCCTGAGTCAGCAGAACGATGCTGTAGTTAACGCTCCTTTGGTGATTGGGATGGACAAGCCATACTCTCCAAGCGGGAGTGGGGTGGTTTCGACTCGTACAGCAGTACACGTCGGCTATAATGGATTAGAGTTTAGACGACTGGCTGCGTGTCCTGAAATGAAAGACACTTCAAAGCCACTTGTCAGAAGGGCCTGGCCGCGAGGACTGATTGAACTGCCAGCTGGGGGATCAGAACCTGTCGCCGGTAGTGAAAGTGGGAAGTGCGCTCCTCTGAACTGGATTGTCAGAAGACCGATCAGGGACTTTTGTACATCTGAGAGGGCTTGGATAGCTCGTTATCCTCCTCGAAACCTGTTGAACGCAAAGTATTTCAAAGGTCCACGATCAGAGGAGTTTTGGGTTCCGACCGCTACGTACTCAGAGCCTCCCTTCCCGAAAATAGAGGGCACTGCCGCTTTTTCCGCAATGAAGGCGATTGCCAGCGAGCATTGTGATATAAGTCAATCAGTTCATGTTTTGCATGCCTTGAAGGCGGTTTTCCAGAAAATGGGGGATCGGGACGGACTTCACGATCCCTGGCTGCAGCGTAGAGCTACTGTACCCAGTCGTGGCACGTTACTACGGTTCAGGGAAGAGATGAAGTTGGAAGTAGAGCGAGAGACGGGACACGCCTCGGCTCCTAGGACGTTAAGACAAGTTTTCAAGCAGGATTCAGAGGTTCTGTCAAAAGTGGAAAGCGTTTTGCGGAGTAACAGTATCTCAGGAACAGCCGCAAGGGTGCTGAAAACTGAAACATTGGCGAAGTTATATGAGAAGGCCGAGAAAACCCCCGGTGAACTCCAGCACTTTTATCATTTAGTCGAAAAGGATCAGGAGAGGTATGCTCGTGAACTCAAGGAGTTCAACGACAAAAAGAACAGTTTGATAAGGAACATGGATTGTCTCCCAGCCCGGTAGAAGAGATTCGGTCGTGAATTCTCCGATGTCCGAGCAGTATCGATTGAGACGGAAGTGGCACGAAATAGGCAGTGTTTTGCATGAAAAATCTTCGTTAAGGACGATGGTATAATAATAGATACGGATGTAATATATTCCTCTTTCCTGTATGTTGCAGATGCTCGAGCTTCAGTACATTTGTTGCTTCAACTCGAAACCAATCCCCGTCCATCAACCGAAACCTCCTTATTCTGTAAAAGGATTTTTACCAAGCCTCACCAACATACAACAACCAAAAGCAAGATTGTCACATACGGACTCCTCCAGTCTTCTACGCACAATGCCGCGTGGGGCATAGTCAATTATGCACGCTGCGCGCGTGCGGCCTCGTCCGCATAATAAATACGATGTTTAATCATCAATAATAGACGAAACCGCGTGCAGCCCCTCCGGGGACTCGAAGTTCGCGGCAACGGTCTCCTCTGACTCAACCTGTGCTGCGAATCGTCACAAAGTCGCAAAAAATTCCGAAAGCTCAACAAAGCGCAGGTGGAGAGGGGTGGTCAGTTCTTCGCTTCCTTGTGCTGAGGAGTCCAGAACGCTTCTAGATGCCTGCGCCAGGGGTTTCTGCGTTCCTTACAACCTATCCTCCCATTTTTACATGCGTCCATTCCTCTCAGTTGTCGATCGACAATTGGGAGGAATGAACGCACTTAGCAGCGTTTCCGTGCATGAAAGAGAAGGCGACCGCCCTCGACGTGGCCCGTGAGGCAGTTGCCCGTGCCTCCCAGAGCATTTCCCGGGAGCGACGCGTGCGGAGGGGGGCAGCGATGAGTGCGCGCGCATCTAACTTTTCGTGCACTTCCTCACTTGGTCTGCGAGCCGGAGGTCTCCATAGAGGTGTACACCCGCAGGGCAGGCGGAACCCGATCGCAGCCGCCGTGTGAGGCCGTGTCTGCCGTACTAGAAAAAGGGCCCGCACCCGGCTTTGAGAATCTCGCGACCGACCGCAACGAGAGCGTTCGTGCGCCGCGACACATGCTGCGAAGTGCATGCATATGCTGCTATACAGTAACCCGCCGCTGCGCTCGCCGCGCACGGATTATCGAAAATGATGCGCAGGCATGTCAACGTCCCCGTCTACTGCGATTCTATCACCCCTTTTCTATGATGATCCACTGTCGCTACAGTCATCCTCTCTCGTATGTTATTTCACGCCACGGGCATGGAACACCCAATAGTAGTTTGACCTCCTGTCTGAAAATCTGTAATTTGATGTAGCCCTAGCCGTTGTAACAAGTGAGTAAAAATGACCCATTTTAAGGTCCAGGCTTTCCAAATTCACAATTTTTGACGGCTATCATAATACGACAGGTCGAGTTCAGGGCTCGTTCTCCCTGATTTCCAAGTTTTCCCCTGAGTTCAGGACATTTTCAAAACAGCGAAAGAATATAGTCAACTCTTGGGCCTTTTAAAAACATTTGAAGGAATCTTGCCCGGAACTTGGATGTGCAGGAATGCTCTATCGAGACCGTTCCATCTTTTATTTACAGTAAGCGCGCACCCAGCCCATGAATATGTAACAATTGTTTGGCTTATAGAGTCGTTCACATTCCAACACGATCCTCCAACAAAGTTGTTTCTCTGATGCGGTTAATAATTTGGCCCGTCTGACCACGATTTCGACTTCACTTGCAGCTCCACCATGACCAAAATGCCACGGTTGTGATGAATTCCAACACGGAGCTAATAGCGGCCTAAAAACTTATTCTCATGAAGTTCACTCTGACAGCAAGGTACAGCGCAGTACAGCACCGTTGCTTACACGTCCTCAACAGTTCCCGATAATTCTAGATTACACTGGAAACGCCTTATACTTCATAATTCTTACAGTAATAACCTTCAAGGATGTTCATCCCGTAAAACTTTACTGCGTTCCAAGGTGTTTATCACAGCGGTCCCTAGTCGGACCCGACTTTGCCCCTTACGGCCCCAGCTGGTGTTAAAACAGGAAGCCGCAGTTTAATCGAGAAAATTAGCAGAGCTGCTCCGTACTGCACACTCAACGGTACAACAGCAAAGGGATCAACTAATCACGGTGCAATAAATCTGTGTGCTGTATCATCGGGTGTGGTATTGTGGGTCAACGACGCACATTTAACTAAAAAATAACTTCTCGGTGCCCATTACCGTCGAAACCTTGCCAAACTAGCCACAGCCTTGTTGCCCTGTGGACCGCGCGTGAGCAAAAAGTCCCTGATACGTTGTGCCATTTTGGGACGGTAGTTAAAAGAGTTGTTGATAGCCCCTGAAAAGCCCAATATTGCGGAATACTGGGTCAAATGATTATCAAAAAAGTTGTTTCTTTTTTATTTTTTACTCAGCAACGATGCTAACCGATGACATGGCGGCCACTTTCATCTTTGCCAGTTGCCTCCGCGCGATGCGGTTTTCATCCAGTTGCCTCTGACGACTAGAGCGCTGAGAAAGCCAGCGATCATGAGCCGCCTTCCGCTGCGCGGCCAGTTCCTTCTCTCTCGCCGTCGCTTCGGCTTGTGCGATCCTGATCGCCCGCCTCTGACACGCCTCTTCAGCTCGCGAATTGCGGGCCTGCTCTTCTGCAGCACGATGATCCGACCTAGCCTGCAATGCTTCCAAAACGTCCTCACTCGTAAGCAGCGCACCGCTTGTCGTGTTAATCGTACCGCTGTTAAGAACTTCGCCATCCGACACGAGCAAATTTTTGCTCCGCTTGAACTTGTCCACCAGTTCTTGATACCCGCGGTGAGCTGCTGCTTGGCTTTCATACCCCTGCCAGTTAGTGATATCACTTGCATTGATTACTTCTGGTACGATGTCTTTGCGCGTTGGGCACCAGATGCCGCACGCTTTGAACCCAGACACAATGTTGTTGTACGTAACAGATCGCTTGTACGCCTCGTGGAGCATCTCGCACAGCGTATAAATGTCATTACGGCATTCATTGGTGGCACCAATAGCTCGACGGTTCAATGTACTGCGAAAAAACGTCTTGAACGAAGAAAAAACTGAGTAGTCGAGTACTTGCGTCCTGTGGCTGGTGTGTGCAGGCAGTCCGACGACGACAATATTGTTTTCTTTCAAAACCTTGAGCGCTCTCAATGAAACGTGTGCTCCATAACCATCAAACGTGAGCACAATGTTTTTATGCTTTTGTCGTAAATGTGTTGTTTCCGTTACAAACTTCTGCGCCCAGTCGTAGAAAATTGCTCCGTCAACTCCGGCTGGATCTCGGTAGCTTGTGTAGGCGTTTGATGGAAGGTAGCAAGACGGTGTTTCTTTTTTTCCATCCGCGCGGATCCGGTATTTCGACCGTTTTCCTGGAAGAATGGCAACTGGGCACCACACCCGCCCATCTGCAGATACAACCGGCATTATGGTCGCATGCTCAGCGTTTTTTGACCATTTCAATTCTTTGGAATTGCTGCGAGCTGTGCGCTCGAACACCGCTTTTGTTCGGCTACGATGCACAGTTCTCATAGAAAACCCACTTTCATCAAGATTGAATATTTGTTGAGCACTCGTTATTTTGTACTCTCTGTACACTTGGTGAAGCCGCGCGAAGTGTTCTGCCATTGTGACAGGGGACATGGCATCAGCTCGCGGTTTTTCGAGGTTCGCTCTGCGTTTGAGGGAACGTTCTTTGTGTCGATTCAAAAAGTTGCGCACAAAACTATCTCCAGTTCTGGTATCCTTAAACGGTAAAGCATTCTGATGAGACAATGGCAGACTGTTTACAAACATTTGAACCAAGTCTTTGAGACATTCTCTTGACAAAGGCGTGCCATTTCGTGAAAACTCGAGTGCCGCTTTCTTGATAGTTTGCTCCTCCTCAGTGAACAGTACTGGTTTTCGTCCGCATCTCTCGTCATTAAAAGTGACGCTGCGCTTCATAGCGCGTTGGAACGTCGTGTTAGGTATGCCATATGTCTTGGCGATTTGACGCCAAGACATTTTGGAAGAGCGAGCGGCAAGGCATGCATTGTGAAGCTGCCTAGTACGGTGCTTTTGGATGGGAGGCGCTGGAGCGTTGACTCGCCATGGTCCTGGTCTCATCGCACTGGCCAGTAACCGAAATGGAAAAGGAGGCTTAATGGTCTTGAGATGTGGAGTTCGGCTTTGTTGTGGAACAATCGTTCACAGTCAGGCGTGATGGCTCCGTTTCCCACTGGACTTTGCGCCAAAAATTCGAATTCTGGTGGCAGAACGGCGCCAATCCCAATGGATTCTGCGCTGCGGCCTAATCTTTGATGTCTAAAGGTCCACTATGATAAAAGCTCCATAAATTTTATGAAAAATCCGACCCAAATTACCCTACTGACCCACATTTGGGCACTAGGTGATACGTGCCATAGAAAGTCTGTGGCTGTGTGTTCTATAAATACATCTGAAAATTTTCTTGAATGGCGGGCAATATTTAGAGGCAAGCACGTCTTGCGACTGTACTCAATGCACCGCAGCAATACAGTAAGGGTACTGTTGAAAAGGGTTAATCTTGATTAGATCAGGAATCGGAAGCTGGACGCCTACGGGCACTGGACGGGTAACGATGATAGCTGCAACGGAGGTAACTCTTGAGGTAACGGCCTCAGGGTTGGTTGTGGCGATAAAGAGGAAAGCGAGTCGGTCAGCAATGCAGCTGGGCTTGTGCCTGTCTCCTTTTCATTACTACGTTCTACTGCCGTTCAAATACTATGCTGCCGCCTGCTCTCCTCCGTTTGCAACTGGCTAACATTTAGTACGAATTGCGTCCGGAGTCAGTGTATGTTCAATGCCGCATCTTGCCTTCTTTACATTCCATCGCGCATAGCTTGTGAACTACCACCGCTTCCGCTCCAACGCGTTCTTGTATTCGCAACTCATTTGCTCGTCGCATTAATGCCGCTGCCATGCCCTTTCTGTCGTCGATAACTAAGCTCCTACTTTGAAACGCGTCCTTTGCCAGTGTCTGCCACAGTATAAGCACCCTTTCACCTCATAGTATAGCTTCGCCTACGTACGGAGATGGTTTCCTGCATTTTCTTTGCCGATCTTCGATCGCTGATCCAAAGCTAAGATTGGCTTTCACAACTGTACAGTACACGTACTAGGGGTTCTGAAAAATCTTTCTGAGCAGCGCACCGGTAAAAAAGGTTCATTGTTACCTGGCGATGAATTCAAGTCTGTGATGCCATGAACACCGATGGCCCTCTCACCCCTGGGGGGACGGCGGCCGGCGGTGACTTTATGTGCTGAGTTGTAGTGCCCTATGTGGCTGTACCTTATCTACTGTGCTGACCTATCTGGATGGAACCACAAAGTCTTCTCCTTCATTCAATAGTCACCCAACGCCGGCCGTTGTAAATGCCAACCTTCAATGTATCGCTCTACAGGCAGCATATTCTGTACTGTCACTAGACAAAGGAACTGTGGAACACACCTTCGCACAGCCCAGTACATGCATGTCCTGGTAACACCCTTCTTGCGGTACACGAAAGAGATATTTGTTCCCCACACACACATAGACCATGCCCGCGCGCAGGAATACCACGATTCTTGAGAGCTCATTCCTGGCGTTAACACGATTATGGCAGGTCGCTTTCTCCTCAAAGCAGCGAAACGCGCTTTCCTGTTCCCCCCTCCTTCTACATTACATACAACGCATACCCAGGTCACGCCATTTGTGGTCGCTACGCGAGAGAAGGTCGGCTGCAAAAGGTGAAAGTGCTTTCCCTACAGCTTCACCCCTCGTTACGCGGGGAATCGCAGTCTACACCTGTCGAGACCGCCGTGTGAAACGTTACCGACGTTCAGAATGCGCACGCACATCGAAATTTCAATGTGGAATGTAGTCAAGTTCGTTCTTGTCAGTTTCATATTGTCGCCTGTCCTGGAGCTGGCGGCCAACTACGCGAACGCAGCGTATTACGGCCTGAAAGTAAGAAGGAAACCAGGGCTGAGGTTGCGTTCTACGAGGCTCGGGCTTGTTGGTATGCACCAAGAAATCGACCTCAACTCATCGTGGTGGAGGCTTAAGACGCTGTTTGTGGTGGTATTGGCAGGTCTGCTATATCTACCACTGGAGTATGGATCTGGGGCTGAAGAAGTGATGAAAGAGGGGGTAATGTCAGTGAACCTTGATTTCAAGATGCCAGAAGGTGGGCCAGAACTGGTGAACATATTTCAGCCAGGGAACGACTTGGAAGCATGCTTGAATATAACGGGAGAGATAACAAGGCTAGAGTATGCAGTGCTAGAGAACAAGACGCAACACAAAATCAAGCTAACCAGCTACCTGATACTTAGTGTGTACGGCGGATCACACTTCCTGACATTGAATGACAAGAACTTTACTTGTGTTCCCCAAGAAGTAGTACATGGAATCGATGGAGGGCTCCAAGTGACACGGTCCAAATGTGAGGGGGACGAATCCGAGGACATAGTATCTCTGTATCAAACAAAAAGCACCCCAGTTGCAGTATTGAGCAAGGATGTTGGATTATGCGATATCGAGACATCTAGTTGCTACAATGCCTGGGAGACGGCCGGGGCTGACTTGGTAGCGAGTTTAACTCTGGCCAGCGTTCAAGAATACAGAAGAGAGAATTCCAGCAGATTACATCAACAAGTGATAATAAGCCTGAGCAGCATGGTCAAGTTATCGCACATTGAATACACCGACCTATCTGTTCCGGGAGTAAGCTCAATATCGTCCGACGGGCGGCAAGGCGATAGCGTCATCCTAGAACTAACTAAGATGGAGCTAAGGGTAGACGAAAACATATTCGGGAACCGTGTATGTGGTAGTCAGGGCTCATTGAGAGTACCTCCGATTAGGTCTAATTTGGTATACAGCGGAAGTTATGACACAGCCATATCAGTCGGGAGTCCAATCTCTCCTGATGATGTGAGCGGAGTAATTAGAACTCAAGAGGCTTTGATACCGTTCAGGTATGGGAGGCGAGAAAAACAGCTTCAAGGTTATGCCGGGGAAGCCACCATGTGGACCGAAACAGAACCCAATGAGATAGTTGTGGCTTCTACGAATTTACTCTTGGGACGACAACTATTCATTTATTCATGTCGAGGAGTTTGTACGATAGACGAGTTTGGAAGACTCGTTTTAGCCCTTGCTCAATCGGAATCAGCTTCTCGGTCAGGCAAACCACTGAGCCCTAATCAGATCACTGCGGAAGACGAAAGAGATCTAAATGATATCGTCGTCGTATCGAAGACATCGAGGGAGGTCAGCACCAATGTGAAAACCACGCAGCAAGGAACTGTAGAGGTTTGGGCAATCTTATACTACTTTTCGCTCCTTGCTGCAGCACTAATTATTTGGATTGCGTTTTGGGTTCACGAGAGAAAAGGTGGATTGTGCATCAGTGTGGAGAGAGTGTATCGGCAGGCGATAATGGAGAGACACACAGACTACAACTGTCCCGCGGTGCCGAGGGGCACGCCTACAGTTTCGGTCGCCAAAGGCCGAACAGATGATGAGTATCATGTAACGGCCACGTACGATGAGTTGAATGTGTGAAGCCTGTTGGAACATGTTTTTCTAGTTTCTAATGTGTAGATAGTGATTCAGAAGCTGGTTGCATCGGTGGAGAAAATTAGACTGAGAGTGGGGAGAAAATCAGAACAAAGCGAAACAGCGAAACAGAGAGGTTAGGAACTACCAGCTCCAATACGAATACAGTGTACTATGCCTAACACAAGTGGAAGAGCAGCAACAGCTCGATCATACTAATTCAAGGAGACAGAACGACAAGCCGATTTTATTAAGAGGATACCTGATGTTACTTTTTACCAGTTGCGGCAGCTCTGTCTGCTGAAAGGGGAAATCGTACGGAGCGGAAGGAGGAGTTTTTGTGAAGGGGGTAGGGGCGAAAAAGGTAAGTCACTGGGCACACGATCGTTTCCCTCTGCGCACGAGTCTGTCGCTTTAAATCGACAAAGTCGTTCTTGCCTGACTTACAAGTCCGTGGAGTGCGTGGCACCGGAATTAAACAGTCAGAACCAGATCGCATTTCGAGTGAGTTGCGATAACCACTCGAATTCCTTAAACCCAATCTCTTCGAGATCAGCTGGATTAAGGAGCCTGCCGGAAGATGAATTGTCTCCACCTCCGTCGCACCCGGAGAGGGACAGACTCTTTGCTCCGCTCTGGTACGCTCTGGTATGCGTCAGGCCACTCCAGGCCTGAGGCGATCCGTGTACACGAAGTGGGGGCCTACATGTACAGGACGGTGGAGCTGTACATGAATGCATGGGTTGGGATCAGAGCGTAGCAGGCGAAAACGTTAATATTGAGACAACAGTGGCAAAAATGGGGAGATTGTTCTCGAAGTATTCGTAGAGTCTTTGAAATCAAGAAGATGATATTACAAACTGTACAGCGAACAGGTCAAATAGAACAGTTTGTGTGCTCAAGGGGAAGGAAGCAAACAAAAAAATTGGAGTTTGGGAGCTTGAGTGTGGGATAGATTGTTAAAGAGTAGAAAGGGGCAAAAAGAAGTGTTTCGAAAAAGTAAGGTTGAGACAAAACGCGTGCAGATGGACAGAGAGTGAAGGCGTGGGCTTATAATTACGATGTAGGAATAGAGTGGCGAGCAATAAGGAAAGGCAGAAAAAAATCTGTACAGGGTATTGAGAAATCGTTTCGTTTTGATCCGTAACCGTTCAAAACTGAAAGATACGGTGACAGTAAGCCGACGTGTTGATGTTGTTGATGTGGGATGAATGAGGTAGAGCTATTCCAATCACATAGAATTAGGATAGAATGAGGTACAAGCTATTCTAATCAAATAGAAATACGATAGAATGAGGTATAGCTACAGCATTCCAATAACATAAAATAGGATAGAAGTGGATACAGTGCCTCCTACGATATAGTGCTATAGCGTGACATA